GAGGAATAAAGACAAAATGCAATATTAATAGTGAAAGCACAAATCTATTAACAAATGTTTAAATAAAATGAAGATGTCAAGCTTCTGAAGGCTATGCATTTCCACCTGCTATCCCATTTCTGCTCGTCAGTTTATTTGTGTTTTAGTAGATTTTGGAATTTAGAAGACAGCACAACCATGAGGTGGGCAAGATTCTTTGCTTCCCCCAGCTGTACTGGAAAATGGCATTCGTGACATTCTGAACGAATGACATATTCAGTACATTGAACGAGACACCTCGAGGGCAATGCAATGAAAATCTCTTCTTAATCATGTGTTTTGCAAGGGTCACAGTTGACAAGCAGCTCAAGAATGCTGAAAAGAAATGGCAGTGATCTCAAACACCAGTGGCCTGTTCTCTGTCGCATTAGTGCAGGTTGTTAATTCCATGTTGTTACTGCAGTGATAAAACATTAGTTTTATACTTTGGTATGTTTTCACTTTCAGTTGACCTCTAAGTGTGACGAAGTGAGAGTTACATGAGCCACCCAGTACACAACCAGAAACTGGATCTTAGAAATGACAGTTGTCAAACTGATGGCAATCCTGCTGCAAAAAAACAGTAATTGATTATCATGAATATTTTGGATCTCTAGTGCTGTATTATGGAAAGGGAAAGAAAATACGATGGGGACACAAAGTAGTGTTGCTCTCTGATACCTATCTGCTCTAATAAATCATTCTGGAAACAAAAAGTCACCCTGAAAGGCAAATGATATTATCCTATTAGCATTGCCACTGCTGGTTTCCACACTCCACTTTTCTGTAAATGTATAAAAGGCACCAAATATCCTTGCAGTTACAATCTAACTCTCAACTAAAGAAAGCACATAATTTCTTCTAAATTCAATTTTATGTAAAGTCCAATTGATCCCATGTGGCATTGCTCAGTTAAAAATTAAAGCTCTTTGTTTCTACACTGTTAACCCCTCCAGCAGCCTTTTGTTCCATCCCCTACCCCCTTCTCCTTTCAATATCACTCTACCTGCCTGACTGTTTCTTGTTCTTCTATTGTCTGCATTTCTATTTGTGTGCTTTCCCTTCTGCATCTTTGCTATTCAGGATGGAAATCTGGACCAAACAAAACAAGACTCAATGCTGGCTGAGAAATTGTTCAAGACACAAAGCAGATGCAGGGATAACAATGCAGGATTACCCTATACTTGTTGCTTTCAATGCAGGCAGTAGGTAAGTGTCATGCTGTTTTAAATTATGGTGTACAGGCAACACTAAGCATGCTACTAAGCTGCTGTACGACAATGCGGTAAATGAAAAGTTGAGAGAGGAAAACACGGGTTCAGGGTAGGCTGCCCTCTTAAGTGGAAGGCACACTGCATTGTATGTTTAAATTACTCTAAAAGTGATTTGATGTGAGGAACACTAACAATCTCTCGGACTCGTAACTCATGTTAACATTCATAACTTCACCCTCACAAAGCAATAATCCTTGATTCAGCCTCAAATCATAGTTTGCACACATTGTTAGCTTTTCAACCATGTTAGCCACATCAGTCAAATGCTTTGCACACACTCCTGAGACACTTCCTTCTCGGCAGTAAGACCTAACTCGTGAGGGCCAGTCATTGTTGCTTGCCTTGATTCATGGAGCAGACGGTGGTCACTATCATTGGATAAACAATGATTTAGGCCATGGCCAGAGGTGGGGCTGAAGCCATTATTGAGGATATTGTTGAATTCTTCTAATTCTGCTTCTAAGAGCCCAAATACCCATATGTCAACATAAATACAGAAGATAATGTTGCTAGTGACTGAATCACATAATAGAGTGAGACTGAAAAGGTAGCCCTAGAAAATCAAAAAAAGTAATCCTCTAGAATATCTTGAAGAGCCCTCAAAAAAATCATACCAATTCATATCTATTGGTATCCTTGCCTAATAAGAATCCGTCTATTCAATCCTCAAAATATCAATTGATCCAACATCCATTTGAAACTGGCATTGACTAGTTCTGCTAAAACTTCATTGCCTTTAACTTGAGTAACCAGTCTTAGAACCAAGAAAAAAAGCAGCAAGAACAAATGTCAAGTCAAAACACTGAGAGATTAGGCTGCATAAAACTAAGCAAAATATTGAAAACAAGACCAGTTGATCATAGAATTTGGAGGCACTGGGAGCATTACTGGATCCAAGGAGTGAGGCTGTGGGGACATAGATCTGAGCTGGAACACTTGAGGTGAATTTTGGCCCGACAGTTAATGGCGGTAAGACTGAATGGACCTAGTGTTTGAAGCAATTGTGAAGCAACAGAGGGAGCTTCTTTAGGAATTTTTTTTCTGATGGTCTGTGGTGTCATGTGGCTACTATTGACTGCTCAGCAACATTTCAAGCTTGTAGGGTATTCTGATCACGCAATATTATATCACATGCACCACTAGAGACACGTTATTAATATGGGCATTAATTCTTGAGGATTTCTGAAACTCAATTGTAAATAATAAAGATTTAACCTAGTTTACAAATAGGTAAGATTTTCTTTGGCAGGATAGAGGGTTAATGGGAGACAGTTCTGTCTGGATAAGTGGCATTTAAATTAGGTGCTAGAAATTGTATCTTGGTGTGCACCTGTGGGAGCAGTTCTGTGTAGGCGTTTTAGTGGACAGATTGATTTGCTTAGTGACATTTCTGTCATATATTTATATGAGCAGGCAGCTGCAATGATCTGCTCTTTCATATTCACACCAAATTTCTATGGGCCATTTTCCCAAGTACAGAATTTATAACATTAAAATGTAGATAATTAGAATGCATGTTATTCTGGACTGTTTTTACCTGGACATGTCCAATCAATTGTTTTTAACATCGTGTCTCATTAACATAAGATTAAACTCATAGCATTTAGCTTTCCCTTTGATTTCTTTTCCCTATTCTGTCCTAAAGGCATTCAGCTCAGACCAGAGTACAATTCCACAGGTATTGATCAATGTCATCTACCTTGATGAGCGGGAATTCTTGATATGTGAGTCTAAACTGTCAGTAGCACCTTGAGGATGCTAAGGCATTGAGACGACATAGATCTAATTAGTTTTATTTCATTACAGCTCCTGTAGATTTATTTCTTCTCCATATAAAGGTGTTTGGATAAGTGACATTAATCGGATAAGTGACATTATTCTGGCAATGGCTATGGAAAGAAAACAGCTGTTGAGGTTACAGTATTCAGAACAGGGCTGGGCAGATTCAGAGGCTCGGTTTTAGTTTCCCACAGAGCTACTAGCAACCAGTTGCTACCTGTCAGTAGCAATCTAATAGTAACCTCATAGTTCCACTAGCAAAACCAAACAGAATTAAACCAAGGTTCAAACAGAAGGACAAAGGAAAGGCATCAGGCAAAGAAGCCAAGAGCCAAAGTTCAAACTAACCAATTAAGATTGCATAGATATCAGGAATTTACATAATGAAAAAAAAACAAGCAAATTAGGCTTGTGTTCTTTGATAAAAAGCTGATCCAATAGAAGTTTATTTCTACACAATTTCAATGAATTGATAATAACTCTAAAAAAGTTGACAGGTTTGATGTTGTAGACTTGCCGCCGAGCTGGTGTATTTGGTTACAGATGTCTGCAACCAAACACACCAGCTCAGCGAGCAAGTCTACAACCTCATCCACAACCCCAGCTACAAATCTTCTCAAAAACTTTAAAGTTGTCAAGTTTTTCAAAGGGTGTGGAAAAGACATAAGTTAAAAATTGCAAAATTAGGAATAAGCCAAAGGGTTTTGATTTTAAGATACATTTATCATGTAAGATATTAAGGTGAAAGTGTGAATCATATTAAAAGGCAACAAAGCATGTTTGTGGAGAGTGGAAGAATTGAAGGTGAGCAGGAGATTAACCTGAAAGGTCAGGCCGTTATCTGATCCAACATATTCCTGCATTCATTGTAACATTTCCAGCAGATAACTGCTGGAAGTTATCACCATTTGGGCCAACACAAGCAGAATGACCGTTTGGACAAGGCAGAAGGGGTTTCTGGAATCTGCAGAATGTACTCCAGCAGAAATTGAGAAGAGCAAGAGTAAAATTAGATTTTAATTTTAAAAATAAATGACTTTGTTTATGAATAGTTATAAACTCATCAATTTGATTTTTATTTGTGGATAATGGTTTGATATATATTTTCCTGTTAAGAATAAGTTGACAGTACTTAGTTAAAATTTATTGGAATGATTCTGTTGCTGAAAGTGATTTGGCAACAGTGGACCCCTCCCCCATCATGCTCAGTGCATTTTTAGACTTAATCCTTTTGGAGCTGCAACTGTCAAATCAAACGCCAGTGATAGGCTGAATTGCTGTCCCAGTTGCAAACAATTCAGAGCTGCCAGAATTCAATTCACAGAGTGACCCTTAATAGTGAAGAGTCAGAAGAGAACTAAACAGTTTTCTCTGAACTATGTTTAAAGCCAGGGTAAAGGCCAACAACTGCAAGTTGTCGCCAACTCCAGCCATCACCGTTTATTTATTATTACACCCTGCCAATCAATTTCTTTTTAATGCTGAGGTTTTCTTTTTTCTCCTCACAAAGTCACAGTAAATAAGAGCTCCTTGGACAAAATACCTATTAAGTTAGTAATTAAATGAGTTACTGCCAGCAAAAGTATATACGAGTCAGTAACAACATCTGATCAAGCTCTTCAGAGATTGTTAAATTATTTTCTGGGGTAAGCAGAATTGTTTAAATGTTATTTATTTTTATGTTCAGAAAATATTTATTGCAAAGTAAAATATTGATTAACACGCAACAATGCTGTAGGAAGAAAAAAAAATTTATGAAACTGTTGCTCAAATCCTTTAATTGAATTTTCCAAATCTCTCACCGCACACAAATAATCAATATCTTCCAGCATCAGAAACATTACTGGCTATCTTTCCAATTTTGTTATCATCAGCACATACAAAAGCACTTGGATATCCATAATATCTTGACAAATAATTTATATTTACCTCATAAACTATTTTTCCTTTGAGATACTGGAATAAAAAAACAAGAAAAATTAACTTTTCAAGGCAACAGATGTGTCAGATCCTAAATATCTGAATTTTTCCTCGGTTTTACTGAGAAGCCTAGGCAAGAGACCCAGGCCCAGTATACTAAACATCACTAAGGCAGAAAAAAGCTGGAGAAAGTAATCAAGAGGTGATGTTTAGGCAATGGCAAGACTGGGTTTTAAAAACCTGTGGATTGCAGGAGGAAGAGAAAACTGAGATTGGTAAAATGATCCTTGGTGTTGACCTCCTAGGGAAGAAAGTGTTGAAAGTAAGAGATGGTATCATGAGGCAACATAGCATGGAACTGGAGGAACACAGCAGGTCAGGCAGCATCAAAGGAGCAGGAAAGTCGACGTTTCGGGTCGGGACCCTTCATCAGGTATCATGAATCTTGAAATGAAGGTAGAATGAATAAGACAGTAACTTGGAGCATGAGGATACAAAATAAAACAAAAGGAAAGGATATTAAGGAATATTTCATCCAAGAGACTGTGGGTGAGGGAAGAATCAACTGTTACTTTTCTCAGTATATTTTGCAAGGAATATGAAAAGTGCCGCATTTGAAAAAAGTTTGGGATGTAAATAAAATTAACGATCTTTCTTTGCTAGTTATACAATCTGACGATTGTTTGCCTCTCTAAAAATGCAATACAGGAAAGAAAACAGTTAACACTCCTCAAAAGCACACACCTTGAAAATGGAAATTAGATTTTCCAACAGTTACTCCACAACTTCTTGTCAAGTGCTGCAAATCAAATTGACACGTTGCTTGAAGACTACTGTCAGGACTAGTCCAATGTGCTGCACCATGAAACAGTGAGGCCTGGCCTCATAGACTATTGTTTCTCAGTTCAGTCATGTCACTGGGCTAATTAAGGCAGATCTTTTCAATTGTTCTTCCACTTGTTCTTTGGAAATTGGAATCACCTTCAACCCTGCTTATTTCTGCTGGAAGGCAAGAAGAGACCTCAACAACCCACAGCCAGTCATGGAGGCATCAAGATAAATGCAGCATCAGTTTGTTGAAGGTCACAATGATACAGTGATCAACAACAAATAATCCTTGGCCAATATTTCTAGGTAATTTCCTGTTAATCATGACACAACTGTCACTCATTACTGTTAGACAGAAAAAAACTGCAGATACTACAATCTAAGGTAGACAAACAAGACAAAGACAGCAAGCCAGGCAGCATCTGGAGGAAAGGAGAAGTCAACGTTTCGAGTATTACCCTTCTTCAGGACTGGATATGAGGGTAGAAGAAGTTGCAGACAAAGAAGGGGGAGGAGGTGGTGGAATGGTGGTGATAGGTGGACACTGGTAGTAGGTATGACCTGGCTGGTCAATGTGAGGGATGAATCTAGTTGATAGCTGGAAGGGAGGGTCAGAAGGTGGAATGAAAGGGAGGAGGTGGGGCTGGAAGGGGAGGTGGGGGATAGGTAGGAAGGATACTTGAAATCGGAGAACTCAATGTTGAGTCTTCTGGGCTGTAGGGTGCCCAGAGGGAAGATAGGGCGTTGTTCTCTAAATTTGCATTCCGAGTCACTGAGACATCGGAGGAGGCGGAGGACAGAAATGTCGGAGGGGGAGTGGGGCGGGGAGTTCAAATGGACGGTGACCTGGAGATTGGGCTGGCCTTTATGGACCAGGCAGAGATGCTCAGCGAAACAGTCACCTAGTCTATGTTTGGTCTCACCGACAAAGGGAAGACCACATTGGGAGCATCAGATGCAATAGACTAGGTTGGAGGAGATGCAGGTGAAGCTCTGTCTCACCTGGAAGGACTGTTTAGGGCCCTGAATTGAAGTGAGGGAGGTGGTGCATGGGCAGGTGTTACATGTTTTATGGTTACAGGGGAAGGTACTGGGCAAGTTGGAGTGGGTTGGTGGGGAATGTGGCATGAACTAAGGAGTGGCAAAGGGAATGGTCCTTGTAGAAGGCAGAGAAGGGTGGGGATTGGAAGATGTTCTGGGTGGTGGGGTCTAATTGGAAGTGTTTCAGAAGTGTTTCAGGATGATACGTTGCATGTGGAGGCTGGTGGGGTGGAAAGTGAGGAACAGGGGGACCCTATCTTTATTATGTTTGGAGCCGGGTGGTGGAGTGGGGAATGAAGGAAGCATTGGAGGGCTGTCTGGATTACAGAGGGGGAAAAAGGTGAACATCCGGGATGCTTGGGAGTGAACATTTCCTCATCAGAACAGATGTGACAGAGAGGGAGGAATTGGGAAAATGGATGGAGTTTTTGCAGGATACAGGGTGGGAGGAGATGTAGTCCAGGCAGTTGTGGGAGTCTGTGGGTTTATTGTAAATGTCAGTCCGTAAACTATCGCCAGAAATGGAAATGGAGAGGTCATGAAAGGGTGGGGGGGAAGGTGTCTGAGATAGACCAAGTGAATTGGAGGGCAGGGTGGAAGTTGTTAGTGAAGTTGATGAACTGCTCCAGTTCAGCCTGGGTGTAGGATGCAGCACTGATGCAGTCATTGATGTAACAGTGCAAGAGTTGGGGAACAGTACCAGCGTACATACTGAAGAGGGAATGTTCGACATAACCGGCAAACAAGCAGGCATATCTGGGGCCCGTGTGAGTGCCCATAGCAACCCCTGGATTTGGAGAAAGTGGGAAGAATTGAAGGAAAAGTTATTGAACAGGAGCAGTTCATCAACTTCACTAACAACTTTCACCCTGCCCTCAAATCCACTTGATCTATCTCAGACACCTTCCCCCCTCTTCTTGACCTCTCCATTTCCATTTTTGGTAACAGTTTACAGACAGACATTTACTATAAACCCACAGACTCCCATAGCTACCAAGACTACACCTCTCCCACCCTCTATCCTGCAAAAACTCCTTCGCATTTTCCCGATTCCTCCATTTCCGTCGCATCTGTTCTGATGAGGAGATGTTCCAATCCCAAGCATCCCGGATGTCCACCTTTTTCCCCCTCTGTAATCCAAGCAGCCCTCCACCATGCCTCCTCCATTCCCTGCTCCACCAAACCCCTCCAAACTTAATAAAGATAGGATCTGCTTGTCCTCACTTTCTACCTTACCAGTCTCCACATGCAACGTATCATTCTCAAAAACTTCTGCCAACTCCAAATAGACCCCACCGCCCAGAACATCTTCTACTCCCCACCCTTCCCTGCCTTCTAAAAGGACTATTCCCTTCGCCACTCCTTAGTTTGCGCCACACTCCCCAACAACCACTCCAATTTGCCCAGTACCTTCCTCTGTAACCGTAAAACATGCAACACCTGCCCATGCACCACCTCCCTCACTTCAATTCAGGGCCCTAAACAGTCCTTCCAGGTGAGACAGAGCTTCACCTGCATCTCCTCTAACCTAGTCTATTGCATCTGATGCTCCCAATGTGGTCTTCCCTTTGTCGGTGAGACCAAACATAGACTAGGTGACCGTTTCGCTGAGCATCTCTGTCTGGTCTGTAAAGGCCAGCCTAATATCCAGGTCACCGTCCATTTGAACACCCGCCCCACTCCCCCTCCGACATTTCTGTCCTCCGCCTCCTCCAATGTCTCAGTAACTCGGAACGTAAATTTAGAGAACAACGCCCTATCTTCCCTCTGGGCACCCGACAGCCCAGAAGACTCAACATTGAGTTCTCCGATTTCAAGTATCCTTCCTACCTATCCCCCACCTCCCCTTCCAGCCCCACCTCCTCCCTTCCATTCTACCTTCTGACCCTCCCTTCCAGTTACCAACTAGATTCATCTCTCCCATCGACCAGCCAGGTCGTACCTACTACCCAGTGTCCACCTATCACCACCTTTCCGCCTCCACCCCTCCCCCCACTTTGTCTGCAGCTTCTCCCACCCCACATCCAGGCCTGAAGAAGGGTAATACCTGAAACGTTGACTGCTACTTTCCTCCAGATGCTGCCTGGCCTGCTGTGTTCTTCCAGCCTCTTGTTTGTCTACACTGATTCTATTAACTTGTTTCAGCAGAACAAAATAGTTACAACCACGATGGAGAGTTATGAGCAGTTTTTTTTTGCAAGGGGATCGGTAAGAAAACTTGTCTCACTAACTGAATAGAAAGTTCATCGCCACAGCTACCTTGATTTCATGATGCTGTCCTTGTGTAATACAGCAAAGTGGTAGTCTCTTACCTGTTGGCCCCAGGGGACTAAGTCGTCCTAGATATCCATTTAGAACACATCAGTTCTCATATGGAAAACGAGAGTGAAACAATTTGGAAAGGGATAAATTGCCAGTGCTTGTTGATTGGAGGTCAGTGAACTATCATGTTTTAATTATTAACTCTACCATTAGCTGTGAGTCAATATTCTGGGCAGACCAGCATACAAATACTGTGGTTAACAATAGCAGGTCAGAAGCTAGGAAGTCTGAGATGAGTAACTTTGCAAATCCTGCCTACGTCTACCAAGGCATAAGTCAGGGGTCTGACCTCCAATTACCTAGAGATGAGTTCAACAACACTCAGAAAGCTTGACACTATCTAAGACAAAGTAGCCCACGATTGGCACCCCTGCCATCACTTTAAGCATTTTATCCTTCCGCCACTGATGCAGAGTGGCAGCAGTGTGTATTATATACAAGGTGCACCACAATAATTCACCCAGGCTCCTTTAACAGCATCTTCCAAACCACTACCACCTAAAAGGACAAGGGCAGCAGACGCATGGAAACACCACCAGCTGCACAATCTCTTCCAAGCCGCACACCATCCTCACTTGGAAGTATATCTCTGTTCCTTCAATGTTTGCAGGATCAAAGTTATGGAACTCTCTTTTCACTAACACTTTGGGTGTGCCAGCACCTGACAGATTTTAGGAATTGAAGGAAGTAGCTCATCACCACCTTCTCAAAGCCAATTAGAAATGAATAATAAATGCTGGCCTTGTCAGCAATGCACATCCCATGAAAGAATAAAAACAATGTTTGTCGATCAGCATAAGTATAAAATATTTATTATCCATCAATTTAGTCTGCGTTACCTTATCTTGGGAAATAAACATCTGGTCATGACAATCTGCTTCTGAATGTTTGTTCTAAAAATTGACCTACTCTGCTCAGAATATAAGGAAGGATACATCAAGAACAGAGTGATGTGTAAGCTTTAATACTGTCTACCCAATCACAGGATGTACACTATTCACTATTTTTTTGATTGAAATTCACTGACTTCTAAGAGGCACCAAGCAAAACCAAAGGATATTAATCCACCTTTACATCTCTCCCCAGTTTGCTCCTAAATTGCAGTCTCAGAACTATTTCCTGGCCTCAACAGCAAAATCATCATTATGTTCTGTGATCTTTGATGATCTTAACTGATGTCTTACTGTATAAGTTACAATCCTGTCCCTAAGCAGATAATTAAGTTTGGGTACTTTCCTCCATACCTGCTCATTCATCCTTTTTAGTGCTCAAAAAAAGTTATTGCTATTAAAATTCTTGCAAAGTGACAGCGTAATGAACAATGGAATCAGAGATAGTAGGAACTGCAGATGCTGGAGAATCCGAGACAACAAGGTGCAGAGCTGGATGAACACAGCAGGCCAAGCAGCATCATAGGAGCAGAGAGGCTGACGTTTCGGGTCTAGACCCTTCATCAGAAAAGGGGGAGGGGAAGGGGGTTCTGAAATAAATAGGGAGAGAGTGGGAGGCAGATAGAAGATGGATAGAGGAGAGGATAGGTGGAGAGGAAACAAACAGGTCGAAGAGGCGGGGATGGAGCCAGTAAAGGTGAGTGTAGGTGGGGAGTTAGGGAGGCGATAGGTCAGTCCAGGGAGGACGGACAGGTCAAGGGGGCAGGATGAGGTTAGTCGGTAGGAGATGGGGGTGCGGCTTGAGGTGGGAGGAGGGGATAGGTGGGAGGAAGAACAGGTTAGGGAGGCGGGGACGAGCTGGACTGGTTTTGGGATGCGGTAGGGGGAGGGGAGATTTTGAAGCTTGTGAAATCCACATTGATATCATTGGGCTGCAGGGTTCCCAAGCGGAATATGAGTTGCTGTTCCTGCAACCTTCGGGTGGCATCGTTGTGGCACTGCAGGAGGCCCAGGATGGACATGTCGTCTGAGGAATGGGAGGGGGAGTTGAAATGGTTCGCGACTGGGAGGTGCAGTTGTTTATTGCGAACCGAGCGTAGGTGTTCTGCAAAGCGGTCCCCGAGCCTCCGCTTGGTTTCCCCAATGTAGAGGAGGCCACAACGGGAACCGCGGATGCAGTATACCACATTGGCAGATGTGCAGGTGAACATCTGCTCGATGTGGAAAGTCTTCTTGGGGCCTGGGATGGGGGTGAGGGAGGAGATATGGGGGCAGGTGTAGCACTTCCTGCGGTTGCAGGGAAAAGTGCTGGGTGTGGTGGGGCTGGAGGGGAGTGTGGAGCGGACAAGGGAGTCACGGAGAGAGTGGTCCCTCCGGAAAGCCTAACTGGATGCTGACAGTATCCTTGCCATGACTTGCATTTTTGCACCTTCATCTGCAGCCAGAGATATCAGAATCACAGTACTGTTGTATTGCCATGTCAATTGGCACAGACACTAAGCCAGGAAGCTTGTTAACAGTCCTCAGTCAACCAAGGGAGTTTTTCCTTCAGTCAGAGGGTCCTGGCACAGTAAGTCAAGAGGAGCCTCTTATATCAGTCCAAGGCCTTGGAGACTGTCAGTCAGCCACTCAAGATGGTCAGAGTCAAGATACTCTCTTCATAAGGGGTAAAGAACCCAATGTCAGGCAACCCATCATCTGTCTTGACTCTTTCTGTTTTATTGGAGGCTGTTTCCTCCTGGTAGAAGAGATTGATGGGTATGAAGGGTGATGAAAGTGGGTGGCACAGTTATTAATTTATGTGCGGGTGTAGAGGTGTCTCGAGTGAGTCAACAGGCAGAGCAGAGGTCATGCAGAGTCAGTAGTGTCATGGATTTCGATGGGTGAGAGCAAGTGGGGGAAGATCTTGCAGGAAATACTGAAAGTGGTAGAACATGGGCCTTGGTGGGAGGGATTCTGATCCACAAGGCAAGGCATCAATTTTACTTCTCTGCCATGTCTGGGGCAAATGCCAAGACTGGGTGAAGCAGCACTGGTCTAACAACACTTGGCCAGGTACACAACAGCCTTTCAAAAATGGTGTCATACAAGGGATACCAGTCCATTCTGGGATATCCCAGCAGTGGTGTTTGTGCAGTTAATGAGGTGAGTTTGGTAAGATTTGGCAAGAGATCTCACTCAACCTTGTGGACAGAAATCCTCCATGAAACTTGACGAAATTGACACTTAAGCAAAAAAAAATTAAGATTTAGTCTAATGTCTTTTTTGTTGCAGCAATGTGGACATTCTTGATGAGTAGGTGAATTTTGAAACATCAGATTTTTTTTGTGACTGTTGATATTACAGCTCTGCCGAAATTCTGAAATACTAAACAAACATTTCCATTATTTCTGCTGAGATATGGTCTTGTGACTCAACCACATAAGCCCTTCATTGTGCAACCAATTACTGACTCAGAAAGGTTGTGTTTCATTTTCACAGTTCTTCAGATATGATCATCATCTTCAGTAGAAGTAGTATTTGTTGATAGCGGTGGAACTATGACTGCTTTGTGCTGTCTTACAGATGAGGAGTCACATTGTCATCACATGGTTCATTTTGTACTACATGTACTTTCAAAAAATAACCTTTACTTAAACAGCAGTACACATAACCTTCTTTAGTCAATGGACTATTATTCCAGCATCATTTTGCTTGCTATCGGGACTGAAAAATAAGATCATTGTCCATTACACATGAACATTCAGTACAAACAACAATGTTTATGGACAGTATCTAACTAACTAAGCAGTTTTTACAAAGTATGAAATATTGAGAATTTTGGCTTTGCTCAGAATTCATCTAGCTACAATTTGGGGTTTGGCAAATATTTATACAATTCATGCACAGGATATACGCATTCACTATTCTAGTCCTGTCTACATTTGTGCTCCAATGATGGCTTTCATCATAAAGGGCTATTATGGCTGTCATGAACTGTTAGGGTACTGCATTGGTATTTTATTTCCCTCCATTATTGTTCCTTTTTTGCTAACTTTTTCTGGCACATTGCCCTAGTATCTAATGTCCTGTGGCAATTTATCAAATGACCGATTTCCATGCTTGAACATTGACAGGCTTCTCAAACGTGAGAGGAATTACATGCTAAATGTTGTCTTCATCTGACCTCCACACATACTTCCCAACAGAGGTCACTAGATAGCAATCAGGAGTGGAAACATTGTTTTTTTCTTTCCCTGACCAAAGGCCAACTCTAATCTCCATGCTCTCCAGTGACTGAAATCAATTAACTTAGCACAGATTAGTGATGACACCCTAGCACCAGAGGCTCTACAAAACACATCACAATTGCTTGATGTTTGCTGAGTGCAGCCAACTTTGCAATACCAGATACTTCATGTTCAGTTTTAGTGATAGCTAACGGGAAGGATCAGCACAAGCCACACAAAATAAGTCATGGGAGCCCAGCATCAATTCCCCTCCCATCAACTTTCATGTGCATACCCTAATGTTAGTTAATTTTACTATAATATCTGGAATGCAAGTTACAAAGGTAGATACAACCTAACAAAATTTGACAGACTGGATTTTAAAAAAATGTGGCGTTGTTACAAAACAATGAAATTCAGTCAAGCATATGTTAATAGTCTGATCTCTGATTGACTACCACTTCCCAAAGTTTTGCTTTCTTGTTTTCAGGTGGGGGAAGGCAATTGGTTTAGTCTACAACTGGTTTGGTGCCTCCTGAGCTGAGGCGTATATTGGGGTAAAATTAATACTGAACTAACATTAAGGGACACATATACGAGGGGCTCCGGTGCCCCAAGTCAATTGTGCAGATTAACTTTCTTAGCAGCTATCACTGAAACTAAAAAAGGCAGAGGTAATGATTGGGCTAAATGCCCTTTCCTCAACGTGATTTTCTACGAAATGTAACCTGTCACAATGAGCCAGTTACAGAATGCGTGTGTACTTCTTCCTCATGTAAAAGGCATACACTACGGAGCCCAATCCTGTTCTTACCTGATACCTACACCTTCATACTTTTACTGAATACAAGGGGATCATAGGTTTCTATTGGAGGATAACTGGGTCAGAGATCTCCAAGATTCATTTTACATTTATGCATAACATCATGGGCACCTACCATGAAGCATGAACTTTAATTGTGAATCACATCATACTCCTGACTTATTCCTTGCAG